CTCGAATACCTTGATACGGAGATATTACACTGTCAATCACTTAATATTGCTACCTATTGTATATCTTTCTCATTTGCAACACAAAAATGTCAACAATATAGATAGTAAAACTTACATCAGAATAGTTAATTTTACATGACAAGATACGTAATGACTTAGAATTACATATTAATTTGAAGAATTTATATGTCTATAATTAATTCATTGGGTATATTTTGAATGTGACAAAAATGTACATTATTTTGCATTTTACAGGTGTAGCCTCAGCAGAGGTCTAGATATGTCCGAGACAAATTTCATAAAACAAAATAGTTGAACATTGATATTTTGACCTTTTGATAGAGGTCCCTGATATTCTATATACATGTTTAAGATATTTAAGTTCAAACGTAATTGAAATACATAATCATTACAAAAAATGTCAACAACCTTTCATTTTCTCAAGTTCTGTATATGATGTATTTTACCCACAAAATTATTGAACCCTTCTTACTAGTTTATTGTTCCAAGTCTATATATATTGAGCTTAATGTGACCATACCATGCATGGTGTCATAGATAGGGAACCAGCCGCTGATGACCTTGGGCATGTCCTTCGTCAGTAGAGGGTTGAGATCAATGTAAATCTTTCCTATTGCATCATTAGCACTGTATGTATCGTGGTCCAGCACCCTGAAACAAATTCCAAACTGAGAACAACTCAGAGCTAAATCATCAGGTTACATAAATTTTACAATTTATATGCTCAAAATATACTTATCAAAGTAACTGTTTTAAATCTTTCCTTCAGTGTACTAAATTATTCCTTTGTTTGTCATTCATGGATAGTGTTCTTGATTTTTTGCTGTTACTCTACATCTGTTGAATGCTTAACAGGTATAAATTTTTACCTCAGTTCTAGTGGTTCATCCTGAAGACTCTCATCTTCTCCCTGAGCATTATAAAAATAAGAAACTAAAATTACAATGTTAAATACTTCACAAAACAATTTTTTCATTACTTAAATTCCACGGAAAACAGTAAAAAAAAAAGATTATGCTAGTTAAGTGCAGAATACATTTGTTTGGATTTATTTGACATAAATAATTCTCTGTATTAGTTAAACCAGAAGTCTCTGATGAGACTGTAGCTCTACTGGTCTGTTTGTATAACAAAAGAAAAGTAGCACTTGGATTTGAAACATTGCAACATGCAACAATAATTAGAATTATGTATCTTAATGAAGTCTACTTCTGTGCCAAGTTATATTGAAATCAAATGAAAACTGTAGGAGGAGTAGCGTTTTGAAAGTATTTCATGGAAATTTCTATTTTTAGTAACCATGACCATTCACTCAAATAAAAAAACAGAAATACATATTATGTATCGTAGTGTATTCTAACTGTGTGCCAAATTAGATTGAAATCAGACCAAAATTGTAGGAGAAGTAACGTTTAATGGGAATTTCACAAAAATTTCTATTTTAAGTAACCATGGCAACACTCTTCATTGAATTCAAAAACCAATGCAATAAATTATGTATCTAAGTATAGTCTTCTTGTATGCCTAATTATATTAGAAGTAGACTAAAACTGTAGCAGGAGTAGTCTTTTAAAGGAATTTCACAGAAATTTCTATTTTTAGTAACCATGGCAACACTGTCCATTGAATTCAAAAACCGATGCAATAAATTATGTATCTTAGTGTAGTCTACTTGTGTGCCAAGTTATATTGAAATCGGACCAAAACTGTAGGAGGAGTAGCGTTTTAAAGGAATTTCACAGAAATTTCTATTTTTAGTAACCATGGCAACACCGTCCATTGAAATCAAAAACCGATGCACTAAATTATGTATCTTAGTGTTGTCTACTTGTAAGCCAAGTTATATTGAAATCGGACCAAAACTGTAGGAGGAGTAGCGTTTTAAAGGAATTTCACAGAAATTTCTATTTTTAGTAACCATGGCAACACTGTCCATCAAAATCAAAAACCGATGCACTAAATTATGTATCTTAGTGTAGTCTACTCGTGTGCCAAGTTATATTGAAATCGGACCAAAACTGTAGGAGGAGTAGCGTTTTAAAGGAATTTCACAGAAATTTCTATTTTTAGTAACCATGGCAACACCGTCCATCAAAATCAAAAACCGATGCACTAAATTATGTATCTTAGTGTAGTCTACTTGTGTGCCAAGTTATATTGAAATCGGACCAAAACTGTAGGAGGAGTAGCGTTTTAAAGGAATTTCACAGAAATTTCTATTTTTAGTAACCATGGCAACACCGTCCATCGAAATCAAAAACCGATGCACTAAATTATGTATCTTAGTATAGTCTACTTGTGTGCCAAGTTATATTGAAATCGGACCAAAACTAGGAGGAGTAGCGTTTTGAAAAATTGTTTACAGACAGACGGACAGACAGACAGACAGACAGACAGACGGACGGACGACGGACACCTTACTATCGCATAAGCTCTTCTGGTCTCTGACCAGTAGAGCTAAAAATGTACCACATGGTGGCCTGAACTTTAATGGAAGTAAAACATGAAGTTATCTTAGTCACAACCACTGTGGATCAAGGTAAAGTGCTCTCCCTTAAATCCACCAAATAAAATGCTTACTTTTTTCATCATGTTCATGCATCCACATAATATATGAAAGTCTATATGGATTTAATTTTTTTACCATTAAAGATAATTACATGACACATTATATAAACTTCCATGTACACAAGTACATACACTGATACAGCAATTTTAAAGACTTGAAAATTTTCAGGTCAACAAGCAAGGACAGTCAGAGAAGGGTGACTTAGGTTTTGTTTTGTATACTTTATACCTGATGAGACTGTACAATTTATACCTTTCTAGAGTTAACTTGAACATACCTCAAACTTGAACCATTCAGAGTTCCACTGTGGATTAAGGGACTTCTTACAGATATCAGTTTTAAAAACATCAGGTCCAAATCGTACCTTGATTAAAAAAGGAAAGCTTCTCTTGAATAACAGATTCTTTATCAAGATGCCATGTAATCTTTCTCTAACATCAATAGAATCAATACAAAATTACCAAAATCATCAACATGTGTAATATTACAATACATAATTACATTGATATTACATAAATAGTATACTACAAGTTGTAGTGTTTGGGGTCCTTTTGATGCGAATGTGCATACTACTGAAAACTCAAATATGAAATTGTTTATTTTCATGATACCTCAACATAAGCATCTGTAAGGTCAGTGGATCTATCCATAACAGGTAAGCCCCGCCCTGCAACCACACGAACTTTGACCTTTCCAGGCATATCCGTCAGTATTTACTTTTCCAGTCAGTCCAGCTGCTACATTGTTTGTTACAAGTACACCTCAGTGCATCTGAGTTGATCTATAAAATAAAAGTAATATGCAAGAACAGACATTAATTATTCTATTTTGATTTTAAAAATAATATCATACAGACTTGTCATTTGACTAAATTGTTATCAATACCAAATTTCACTTCACTTGATTTAAAACTTATTCATATATATTTTTTTTAAAACTAGACAACAATTTCATAATTTTTTTTTAAAGTACTAAACAGTGAAAGGATGAAGTTCTCCAAACTTTCAAAACTTTTTATTGATACTGAAACAGAGATCTCGGTTTTCTATGGTAATTTTTCCTTAATTTAGGGGGTAGGATGGTCTTTTGCAATTTGAAAAAAAGATGGTGAAAAATTTTCAATTTTGAGGCTCAACTTTGGCTGAAAATTTTCAAATCTCCAGTTGTGATTGTTTAACTCTGTCACAGGTATGTAATACTGTAACAAGGCAGTTAGTCCGAAATATCTGACGTTTTCCAGGCTTTTTTCACGATTTTGATATTTTATGTGCCAGGAAAATGTCAGAACCGGCACCATTATGAAAACTGGAAATTTCGCCGTCTTCAATCGGAGCAATTTTCGATACATGAGAACTGAATTAAATGCCGAACTTACAATTTATCAATAGCACAATGCTTCTAATACTCACCAATATCGATGAAAAGGAAATATCACTCTACATTTCGAAACAGGTCTTGCAAGATTTTAAAATGCACGAATTGAAAACAAAACTCGAGGGTCTGATAAAATGTTTTCCCCGGACTGTATATTTTACAAACAAACCATGAAAAAGAATTTTGATGAGTACTAAAGGCATTTTTCTATTGATAAGTTGTGAATTCAACATTTAATTCGGTTCGCAAGTATCGAAAATCAACCCGAGAATGCCTCCAGTTGAAGGTGACGAATTTCCAGTTTTCGTAATGGCGCCGGTTCTGACATTTTCCTGGCACGTAAAATATCAAAATCGTAAAAAAAAGCCAGGAAAACGTCAGATATTTCGGATTACAATTAAGGCAGTGAGTACATGAGTGTGATCATAAGAGTAAACCTGACATTTTACACGGACAGATTCTGTAACAAAATGAAGTGACTGTTTAGACAACCAACCAAGGTTATGTTACTTAGCAGATTTTGCTGATCACCACGTAACCTGTTATTACTGAATACTGTTCTTGAGTAGTGATACAATGGCACAGTGCACCAGCTGATAGTTAGGCACCAGCTGATACAGTTATTTTAGACATTGCTTCCTCTTGTATGCATGTATCTGTTATGTATTATTTAAATTCACAAGTTTCTGCTTGTTGTCATTCAAGAACAAGGTAATCCAAGTATACTTTATACCTTAATTAGCTCAACATTTGGGTCCACATTCAGAAAAGTGGGTAAGTCGGTGTTGAACAAGTCGTACCATAAAAACTCGGGACATTACATAGAAGAATAACTTTACTTTTAACCGAAGTTTGGCTAGATAACTGATTACTTACTTACCCAAATTAAATCTAGGGTTGAGGAAAAGCAAAAAAAAATGATGATTTTTTTGTGACCTAAAATAAAATAAGCAAATTAATATGTATACGAGTTTTCCGGATTCGATCCTTTGACTAGTTCCATAAACTGGTTATCTCACTTTCAACTTCTTGTGACCTATCAGCCTATGCATAGACGATTTTTCTCAAAGTTTACAGGAGTTAGAAGATTCTCCAAGATGTGTGAAGAAGTTAATTCAGTAATTGCAAAAGATATCTTAAATACCGTGGATAACTTCTTATTCGACTGTGACGGTAATTGATGAGAATGTTCATAATTTTTAAAATGTTTGGTCAGTGTATAAATGCAGTATTAAATCCATCTGCATACTACAGCTGACTGCTGTACAAATGAATAGTGACACCAAGTAGGCAGTACAAGTCAGGTAGTACTCATCTCCTTTTTTAAAAACAATTTACACAGATAATGCAAACTACATATTCTTAAAGGGGCTGGGACACAGATTTGAAGCTCATATTTTCTAAAATTTTCTAAATAATATCATGACTTGTAACTGTTATGTTGCTATAGCATTTCACACCGAATATATATTAATTAAAAGAGTGTTTAGAAACTTCTTTTATCTGGAAATTATTAAAACTACAAATTTCGGGATGTGTTTGATTTGACACATATCCTTGCAGTTTCACAAAGTAATTAAACTTTAATATTGTACGTCAGTCCGTTCTCAGTGATGTGTTTAGACTAAACAAATTGTAAACACCCCGGTAGAAGGTAAACATTAACAATAACAGAGCTTATGCCCTGTTTACAAAAACAGGTGTTTGACGTGATGTTTTGAAGAATGTTGTTGTTATTAAGTTCTTAGAATATTCATGTAAGTTCAAATCATTAAACTTAAGTTATTTTTTTTTAATAAAATAGACATTTAAAATTGTAAACAATGCAACTGTGTCCAGACCCCTTTAAAACTTGACGATACGATATCTTTTGCTACTCTACCCAGAAAGTTTTTTTGTTTGTTAAATTGTTTTTGTAAGGTTTTAACCCTTCCTCTGCAGTAAATAATATCTCGGTACTGGGGTACTGGGCATGCAATTTCAATATATAAAGAACTAATGGTTATACTGGAAACATTGACATGGTGCCGATACTTATTTTAAATAAGATGAAGATTGGATATTTGAGTATTGCCAATACTTCACATCTATAGTAATCTTATGAAATCTCTCTGAATGCAGGAGTATTATGGAATGCTAGTGAATCTATTCCTGGGAGCTTGGAAACTATTAAAGGACTCAAATCTTTGGTAAGGCATCCATTATATTTTGTTTTTATACATGTAACTTAATTCATTTTCCTCTTGAGCATAAATTTTCTTACATGAATCTCATGCTACACTAAATGATAAACTCAACTTTATATCAAATGTACTTCTAGTATAAAACAATTTTGAATATGAGTGATTAGTGGATTGTATGTGTCAAACTTTTAATAAATTGTAATGATATTGTAATGCATGTATAAGCTTGACTATGTTTATTGTATACAATCAGTGTTTTACTCTGTATGAAGGGGAAGAAGATATTTTATGTGACCAATAACAGCACAAAGACCAGGTCTGAGTATGCCCAGAAATGTGTTAAGTTGGGGTTTCCTGCCACTGAGGTGAGTACATGTACTACAAGGCTAGGATATAACACAGAAAAGAATGTTTAACAACCTAGGTATATTTAATTTATCTTCCCTGTTACTGATAAATTCCACTGGTTCATGTACAGGTCTGCTTCATTCTCTGAGTTGTATGAGCTCCACAAATTGAGCTATGCTCCATTTCTATTGCCATATAATATGCTCAAAACACTAAGTTTTGTGGCTTAGCTATAAATATGTGTGCCACACACATTGAGTCTTATTGTCTTCTTTTGAGTCATAATTATGTTCCAACTACTGATATTGCACAAATGACAAGGTTGAACAATGCATTCCACCACCGACTCAATTCCTTCACTCTGTGAGCTTACAGCCAAGGGCCATGTACTTGTACCACTAACAATAAAACATGCCACTATACAGCTGACTAACTTTTTCTAGCACCTTTAAATCTGAAATGTTATATTTTACTATAAAAGAATATACAGTTATTGTATTCAGACTGATTTTGCAGAATACATAAGAATTTAGAATCCTGATTTAAGAGCATAAATTAAGAGTCTTTGTGAAAGGTCATGGCCTTCCATATTAATCTGTTGTCTGAAAATCATTTTATTTTTCTTCCCAGAGTAAATTTATTTGGTAATTTCTTAAAAAGTTGATTACAAAATCTGAAAAAAATGTTGTATTAGGCGTAAATATCAAGACTTCACCTATATCATCTATTGAACTGGTGTTTATTGAAAAGTCAGCATAAAAATTTTATTTTAATTTTAATTTTTCAGGAGGAAATTGTTTGCACTAGTTACATATCAGCCCTTTACTTACATAACATGAACTTCAAAGGGAAGATTTATGTTGTTGGAAATCCCAGCATGGGAGTAGAACTGGATAGATTTGGTCTAAATCATACTGGGATTGGTGTAAGTGTTCAGCTTATTTTTTTTTTTTTAGTCTTTCTTATTCTGATATGTTTTATTCTCCAGTCATGTTTCACTGTGATAAAATGTTACAATAATGGGTCGTTTTCCTTTGTACTATTTATGTTATGAATATATGTTTAAATATTTTAAGAGACTTAAGGAAATGGAAAACAAACATGATTATAATAATTATTTAGTGATTTCTGCATTTAAAGAAGACAAAAAACTTGTATCTAGAATATCTTGGCAAAGAAAACTGTCTTCATTACTACAAAAATTAAATATCACTTCTTTGGATATTTCTCACACAACCTTGAAAAACAAATTACAAGAGCATTACCAAAACAAGATACATGAACAACTGAAAAATATAAGCAAATCAAACTCTGGAAAGTTAGCTTTTTATAGTAAAATTGTAATTCAAAATGAATACAAATTGCAAAGTTATTTAAAGCTGCCTTTAAAGAAAAGTTTTAGATCTGTATTAACAAAATTAAGGATCAGTGCCCATCCATTGTATATTGAAACGGGCAGATACTGTAAACCCCCTATTCCTAGAGAAAAACGTTTATGCTATTCATGTAAATTATTTAATGAAGATGAAAAACATTTTGTTCTATACTGTTCAAAGTATGACCAATTTAGATGCAATTATACTGATATATTTAATGTAAACACATATACTAGTGATAATCCCACTAGAGAAATTGTCAATCCTACAAATATTACAACTGCTAGAAGGATATGTTGTTTTTTGAAAAAGTGCTTTGACACCAGAAAAGAAAGTCAGCAATGAATACTTAGAAATATGTGAATATACTCTACATTATTTTGTTCAACTCACATTTGTCACTTTGTATATGTATGTATTATTCTTGTTAATTCGTTTTATGTCATGACTGTATGCCGACATGGTAATTGTCAATAAAGTGAATTGAATTGAATTGAAAATGTCATTTAAAATCAGAATTCACTATATTTGACTTGATCCAATTCATGCAAACACTATTGTGACATCACAACTGTTGACATGAAAAATGAGATCATATGAGTGGTATCCACTAAATAAAGGAGTAAGTGTTGATACATTATAACTTTGAAACTTTTCATGCCAACGAAATATTATTTATTTTTATTTTTTTATTTTTAAGCCAGACCCTCCAGATGAAAATCAGGAATCTTTTCAAATTGTGTCTGGTTTGAACCTTGACCCTGAGGTCAGTATATTTATCTGTGTCAATGAACATTGTGTTTAAGCATTGTTTGATAATTTTTTTTCACAATTTTCAGTTTCCTCATAAATTCCTTCATTTATCATCAGCATTTGCATTTGATTATAATCATTTTATAGTAATAAAATGTGACAGATAACCCGAATTGAAAAATCATTACAAAATGTCAAAGTTTTTGATATTTAAGTTCTGATGTCACATTAATTACTCAAATAACTGTTTTTGTGTCTCCTCATAAAACTACCAAAAATATTTATAATTATTATTACCTTCTAAGTTTTAAACTTTGTTTCATATAAACCTGAATTACATAACTTTTGAGATTCAATCAAGATAAAAATCAGTGATAATTTTTTTTGGGGGGGGGGGGGGATAAAAATTTAGAAGAACTTGTAGTAAAAATACAAAGATGAATAAACGTATAAATTTAGCTAGGTATTCTCTTTAAAGAAGTCAACAGGCTATGCCTGCATGACTACTTCTCTAAAGAGAATACTATAAAAAGTAAAACACTAGACTAACTTCCACTGGTGTTGAAACTTCCTAAAGTCAATTTAGACTATCTCCTTTTGTTTTATAGATAACTTTTAGTTTTGAAGCTGATTAGTATTGTTGAGAAAGAACATACAATATTTTTGTCTGTGTACAAAAATGTGAGGGAAAATAACATATGTTAATACATTATTGGTTATTTCTCTCTGCTAGACGTTCATACATAAAAGATTGACCGTCTGTAACTAAAAGAATATCGTTGATGTCAAAATTTCCACTGATCTTATTGTGTAGTGTATATTATTCAACGTCAAAATCTATTTGATACATTTTCTTAGTCAATACGATAAGCTTTACGAGTTCTAATTGAAAATTGACGCCTATGACGTTTCAGTACCACGTGACCCCCATCTAATTAGTGGAGATTTTTACTTTGAGAACTCTCTATTACGGGCATTTTATCACCTAATTATGACTGTTTTCAAAGTTATTTCATAATTAAACGATAACCATATATTTCAAGAATATACAATGTAGTAGTGTTTCATTTTTCAAAAATTCAGATCCTGATAAAAACCCTTTATAAAGACATACAAAAACTAAATGAAAGGCCCTTTTATAGGGCATAAACATTGTATTATAAAGTCTTAGACAAGACTTGTAATAGTCTATCAGGCAAATACGTGTAATTTACATTGATTCTGGTAAAATGGTCAGAAAGAAGGGACTCACAAAAGTTCATTGCTTGTATCATGTTCTTTCTTTAAATTGAATATGATGACTTTTTTTTGTTTTGTATTCAGATAAATTGTGTCCTGGTTGGATTTGACAAATACATTTCCTATCCCAAAATAATGAAGGCATCTTCCTATGCCAGACGAGAGGGGGCGTTGTTTCTGGCTACCAATGAGGACTCTCATCTTCCTTTGAACGTACCATATGTGGTACCAGGTAGGGCTTCCATAAATTTTCTCTCGACAGTTTTACTGTTTTCTCAAAAAGCCAAATAGAGAGTATTCTAGCTTGTTCATAAGCAGCTGCATGAAATTAATGACTTTTTACAGAGCAAATTTTATCTGCTACAGACAAATTTGAAAAATTGTACCCACTAATTTTACAAACAAGAATTGTACTCTCACTGACAATGATTAAGAGGTTAAGCCATTTTTTTTTCTTGCAATTTATCAAGATTTCTGTTTGGGAACTTTTGTCATTACATAGATAACCAAGTTTTTATATATTAATTGTAAGGACAGTGAATACTGCCCATTGTCAATTAAAGAACCAGATTTAATATGGTCTTGTGTCTGTATATAATTATTTTACTTTTGAAACCCAATGAAAGAATTTCCTGTCTTACATTTTAATTTTACCCTGTATAATTGTGCCTCTTTATCATTTAATCCTCAGGGACGGGGACCATTGTGGCTGCTGTGAAGGTCCCTGCCAGGAGGGAGCCGCTAGTGATGGGAAAGCCCGAGATAAACATGTTTAAATGTCTACAGCAGGCACACAATCTGGACCCCTCCAGGTGTTTAATGGTAGGAGATAGGTAAGTACATGTTTAAATGTCTACAGCAGGCCCACAATCTGCACCCCTGTAGGTGTTTAATGGTTGGGGAAAGGTAAGTATACAGTGAAAACTGTCTAATCCAACACTTGTGCAATCCATTTCACTGTAAAGTCTGACCTTTATTTCCATTCCCATCTTGCTATTTTCTATATTCTTTACACTGTGTAATCTGATACTCTGTCTATTCCATCACAGAATTGGTCTCCTACTGCATGTTGGATTAGACAGGGTTTTTTTTGCACTTGTTTAATTGTCTACAGCAGGCTTGCAATTTGGACCCCTCTAAGTGTATAATGATGAGGTACAGGTAAGGTTGGATTCACTGTATCCCTTAAAACCCTCGTGTCTTAAAACTGCAAATAAAAAAAAATATTTTTGTAACATTTTACAAAAATAGATGCATTTGCTTAGAAGGTAATTACTGCATTTAGAAAGTAATTATTGCATACAAACAAAAGTTTTTACTGCCTAGAGTAGTTAGTTTGAATATGAACAAGTTGTGGTGGTCATAGCTTTGGATGATATTGTTCTTTTTTTTGAGCTGAAACAAAGCCCTTTATCTGATTTATACATGTATCTGTAATGTACAGATTTGTAAACTAGCAAAGCCTTAACATGGAATGCTCCTGTTTCTCTCCAACTTGCAGATCCCTTTCACACCATAAAAACTGACAAAATTTTATTCAGGGAGATCTAAATGAACAACATTTCTGTACTATTCATTTAAACAATAAAATGCTCTCTTTGGTTATGTAATTTTTTTTCTGCAATAGCTGCAACGTTAATTCCCATACTAACAAACAAAGAAAGACATTTAATTGTTTATATCTGTACAATAATCATGTGAAGTAGGATTTAGTAGATGAAACATTATATTATTGACATGTATGTGATTGTACATTCCATTCATTGAACAGCCACTTCTAAAGAAATCGGTAGAGGTGATATGCTAAGCGGTGTTTACTGACTGATAAACAGCAATAGTTTTCGCATTAAGAAATAAAGCAGACAATATTCAGTGGATGTAAATATTCTTCTGTATTTTCTTCTAGATGTAATACAGACATATCAATGGCTACAAACTGTGGTATGAAGTCCCTCCTGGTCCTGACCGGGGTCTCGTCTTTGTCAGACGTAGAGGAATACAAGGCATCTAAGGATCCCGTCAAGCAGACATACGTACCTACGTACTACACCAGCAAATTAGGACAGCTAGGAAAGCTTCTAGGATTTAGTATACCTTAATGATTTTAGAAATATTTTAATTAGGAAAATTTAATATATTTTTGTTCTAGAGTGTTTATTCCTTTGTAATTTTATCAGTGAGTGGATGCTGTGCGTTATTTATAGACTTGTATCCTAGATAATTATGAAACCATGTGTTGTTGGATGGATGTTAACCGATTCAGGATCCTTAGTCTAATCAGGCATTCCATTCCAATCTTATTTGATTATTCTAGATATTAGTTTTGTAAAAATTTGTAAAATTTTGAAGCAGTTGTTATTATGATTTTAATTGTTAAATAGGAAATACTCACTTGTCTAACCAGAAGTACCATTTTATGTATATACAACTCTACCAGTAAACATGTATATGTAATACTTCAACAATGAGTTAACTTCAAAGCATGGTGCTGTAATTTTTACATGATTCAATTTATAGGATTTCATTTTAAATAAATTAATTTTATATATAGGAACATTTTTTTCCCAATTTCTTCATATGTTACATTTTATGGGAATAAAATATAAAATCATACCTATAATAAGAATTTCTCCATTTATTCCACTACATTACTGAATCTTATTATGATATCATAATCTCTGGAAAATGATATTTGGAGAATTATATTATATCCCTTTAGTCAAGGAATAGATGTTTCTCTCCTTTCTGATTGGCTGAAATCTAGCAGCCTGGAAAAATTGTATCATCCTGCAGACAAAGTCAACTGAAAAAGCTTGTCTTTTTTATTGTGATGTCCACATTCCTAGTTTGACAGTTGATTATCACTATGGTGTGACACTTTTAGTTGTCCTCTATGACATTTTTCATCCATTTATGGAAATCAGGATGTGTTTGTGAAACGCTGATGCCCCCTTAAGGCAGCTCGTGGCAAAGGTTTAAGGTTCGCAAATGCAAGTCAAACTCCAAAGTCAAGAGACAAAAAATGTTGGTACCCAAAAGAAAGGTCTTGTCACAAGGAATATAGCTGTGAAATACGAAAGCCATATCAACAACTATTCAAATGTTATGGCCCAGGTTAAAGTTTTTTTTTTTCAAAAGTAGGTCAAAATTGTTGGTACCCAAGGAAAGCTCTTGTCGCAAGGTATACACCTGAGAAATATGAAACCCCTAGCTCCAACCTTTCAAAACATGGCCAAGGTTAAAGTTTTTACAAAAGTGGGTTATACAAAAATATTTGTACCCAAGGAAATGTCTTGTCACAAGAGATGAAAAGATTGGTCAACTGAGGATGTGCATCGACTACAGACAATTAAACCAGAGGACAGTAAAGGAAGCATTTCCTCTTCCAAGAATTGACAACAATCTTAGATTCTTTACATGAAAACAGATATTTCACTTTCCTTGATATGAAAAGTGGTTATCACTAAAAAGAGATGGAGGAAAAACACAAGGAGCGCACAGCCTTCACTGTAGGTATACTTGGATTCTTCGGGAATGAACGAATCTAATTTGGATTAGCCAATGGCCCTGCCAGCTACCAACGGTAGATGGAAGACATATTTGCAGACCTTAACCTTAGTATTTGCCTAATCTACCTGGATGATATTATCGTGTTTTCAAGGACATTTGAGCATCATCTCGAAAGGCTAGACAAAGTTCTACAAAGAATACGGAATTCTTGATTAAAAATTCCTTCATCTAAATGCCAGTTCTTCGAGACTAAGGTTAAGTATGTTGGACTCATTATTTCAACAGAGGGAATAGCACCAGACCTAGACAAAGTGGATAAAGTGAAGCCATAGCCAACACGGAGAACGCCAGAAGAAGTCCGAAATTTTTTAGGATTCATCGGCTATTATCGAGAATTCATTAAGAATTTTTCCAAAATTGCTAGACCACTTACAGACTTAACACCTAGTCCACACTCTTTAAAGAAAAGAGGAAAACAACAGACATCAATGAACTGGAAATGGGGTAAAGATTAACAATTAAGAGGTTTTTGATGTTCTACCCCGGCACTTGACATCACCACGCATACTTGGCTGTCCAGACATGGCACTGTCATTTGAACTTCATACTGATGCTAGTTCCAGAGGAATCGGTACCATTCTTTACCAAGAACAAAACGGGCTGAACGAGTCATAGGATATGCTAGCAAAAGACACACAAGCAGAACGAAATTACCCTGCCCTGAGTTTTTGGCTTTGAAATGGTCAATCACAGAGAAGTTCAAGGATTATTTACCTTATAGCGGGTTTCTTTAGCGGAATCAAAATTTGGCATTTTGCATGCTCAAAGGTATGCAAATAATTTTGCCGGAGTTCTGTGATATTGCAATAGAGACGAAATTCATCTTTAAGATAACTTTCGGTACATTTAATATACGTTTGCATACAGATTTACACAAACGTTTGAGTAAATACAATACCAGGTGAAAGTTATATTGCTTATACGACAGACTAATCAAAGCTATTTAAGTAATTTTTCTTGTATTCATTAGTGATAATGAAGGGTGCAAATTTGGCGATTAAAATTTTTGCGTTTTGCTTCAAAACCGCAAAAATAAGCCAAAGTTAGCATCCCTTTAAAATACCCTCTATACGATATCTGGAACCAAATTTACTGCTATTACAGACAACAACCCATTAACCTACATTCTTTCCAATACCAAATTAGACGCAACAGACCACAGATGGGTTGTAGCATCATCCGCCTAGGATTTTGACATCAAATACAGACCAGGGAAGAACAACACAGCGGCAGTTGCATTATCACAATTACAGCCAAACAGTATACAAATGGTCACCATCTCTTCAGATTCTATAAGCGCCATCAGCAAGTCACAAACAACACCTTGTATAGAATCAATTTCTATCTCAGAACGACCACTTGCTCAGTAACAAGACCCAGGGCAAAGCAGAACTTACCAACATCATCACCTCGCAGCCGCTTGAACTGGTGTGTATGGATTTCCTGTGTTTGGAGAGAAGTAAGGGGATATGAAAATGTATTTGTGATAACGGATCATTTTACTCGTAACTAGAAACACAACAGCCAGAACAACAGCGGAAACATTTTTCAACCATTTTGTAGTACACTATGGACTCCGCAAACGCATTCATTCTATCAAGGCGCACACTTTGAGAGTAAACTTATCAAGGAATTATGTCAACTTTTCGGTATTTCAAAATCAAGAACTACACCATACCACCCGATGGGAAATGGACTTTGTGAGCCCTTTAACAGGACTTTAATAAACATGTTAGGATCATTAGAACAATCAAGGAAAGCAGACTGGAAATCTTACATAGCTCCCATTGTACACGCATACAACTGCATGAAGCAGGAAACTAAAAAAAATGTTCACCCTATCATCTTATGTTTGGAAGAGAAGCTAATCTGCCAATAGACATTGAATTTGGATTAGATAAAGAAATCAGAAATCAGCATCCCTTACAAAGTACATAGACAGCTTGAAAGAACCATTGGGGAAATCCTACATGTATCAGTTGGCATCAGAGGCTGCACAGAAATCACGGAAAAGACAAAAGGATAACTATGAACTTAAATCCAGAGGAGGTTAAGATTGTGGCATTTGATGGACGTCATAAGCTTGCAGACAGATGGGAAGAAGAACCCTATCTGGTGATCAACCAACCAAATGAAGGGATTCCTGTCTACAAAGTTCAGAGAGAAGACAGTGTTGGTAGAATAAGGATGCTTCATAGAAACCTACTTTTACCCATTGGACATGTAACAAAGTTTCAACCAAAGGTTGATTTCAAACAAGAGAAACCAGTTCCAGCAATGCGGAAACCTACACTAAAGCCTAGAACTAGACTGAATAAGAGGGAATGCAGTGACACACAGTCCACTGTAGATACTTTTTCAGATACAGATGATGAAGAAGAGGCAATCTACATAACAATTTCAAATGGAAAACAAAGTCACCAAACTGATGTCCCTACTGTGTTATCTGAATCTGAAACGGAAACTGGGATTGTTGATGGAGATCTCCAAACGGCTCGGGACGCCCACCATGTTGGAGAATTATCAGAAAGAAACTGCAGATGAGACTCTTATGGAATCTGCATCACAAGCAGATATGTCAGCAGCTGATACTGAAACAACAGCTGATGTTGATACAGAATCTGAGACTGTACCAGCAGCTGAGACTGAACCGGCAGCTGATGATACCAGTTTACCTGTTGTTGTTACACGCAGATCAAGCAGGCAAAGAAGGGAGCCAGAATGGCTACGAAGTGGAACTTTTGTTAGACAACAAGTAAATATTGATCCGCATTGGTCAGAGAAAGCAAAGTTACTACAGAAAATCTTACAAGACGAGCGTTGTCAAGGATTGGAACGAGGTGAGATTTTAAAAACATTTCTCGATTATCTTAAGAAAACTTAATTTGTAAATTTCAGTAAATTGTAATGTATTTTTTTTTAACATTTTAATTTGCTCATTCTTCTTGGAGAATGACGAAGACATCATTTTTTTGAGGAGTTGAAAAATGTAGCTGTGTGTTTTAACTGTATATAACATATATATCACATAATATTTGAATAAATATTATTGATATAAATGAAATTAGATAAGATTTTATGAATTTCCGGTAATACAAATCCCAGATCCACCCCTTTATTTAATTGGTGAGCAATAGAGTTCAAAGATTATGTCAGGGTTCTGTAATTTTATTGGTTGAAAGTTTTAGTGGTTCTTGTTATCTGAGTTGTTCTCAAATAGAATACACAGAGAATTTGGTCAGATTGGATGTTTATGAAACTTGAAGATATTTGACAAAGACAAAACTCTTCTTTGAGACTAGACCAGACCTGATAGTAAGTACTAAGTTTATTAACATTCTATATCTTTATTAACATTCTATATCTTTGACCAACAATCTGTTGAAATTCCCATGGGTACTAATTGAGCCCCGATGTTAGCAGACCTATTTTTGTATTCACATGAAGCACCGAATTTATTCGAAATCTTATACACGAGAAAAAGAAATCTCTTGCTGTGGCCTTCAATCGACATTTAGATATATTGACGACGTGATATCAATTAACAATAGTTATTTCCATTCATATGTCGACACAATATATCCCAGCTACAGTGAGCTTGAAATAAAAGATATCACAGAGTCTGACACATCTGTTTCATATTTGGATATTTTACTAGAAAGAGATGTTATTGGTAATCTAACAACCAAGCTTTATGATAAACGTGACGTCTTTTCAATCTTCGACTTTTCAATCGTCAACTTATGCGGCAATATACCTTCATCACCTGCATAGGGGTGTATATCTCTCAGTTGATTCGATACGCAAGAGCATGCTCTACATATGAACAATTTCTAAAATGGGGTAAGTTATTGACAAGTTGATGTCAAACAGATGTGTCAGACTCTGTAGTATGACTTAATGATAGAATGTATCATTCTACACAGGTGTGTCAGAATCTGTGGTATCTTTTATTTCAAGCTCACTGGGATATATCGTGTCGACATATGAATGGAGATAACTATTGTTAATTGATAACACGTCGTCGATATATCTGAATTCGATTGAAGGCCACAGCAAGAGATTTCTTTTTCTCGTGTATAAGATTTCGAATAAATTCTGCTTCATATGAATACAAAAAGGTCTGCTAACAACGGGGAGCAATTGGTACCCATAGGAATTCCAACAGATTGTTGGAATACATGGTCTCCAAACACCACATAGATATTGTCAATCAGAAACTCAAGTACCTCTTTGATATCACTTCAGAGTACTTATGTGTACAATCAGAATGTTTTTAACAAAATAATTTTGCAAATGACCAATGATAAGGTAAGTAAATTTACGAGTTCTATTTTTATTGAAAAAGAAGCTGTCAATGATGTCAAAAAGCCTGGACTTCAACTTATCGTGGGGAATGGTTGTATACAGAGTTGAAAAGTCGTAAGTTTTTATGTTATTGATTTTGGTCAAATTTTGTGATTTCAAATTTTCCAAAAGTTCCTTGGAATTTTAAAGTATCCACGTCTGATTTACACCACTTCTTGAATATATTGTTACGCAGTACTCATGAAGTTTCTCCTTCACTGCTGTTAATATTTAGTGAGAAATTAAGAAAGAGGCTTGGAAGAAAATTTACTGGAACCCTCTATGTGTGTTTGCAAGGATTTTTAGGAAGTTTCGGAATCCAGTATAAATATGATAATTCAAAATAATCCATTTTGCTTGTTGGGAATATTGAAATATTCAAAAGTGACAAATGATTTTGAGGAATTTCCTCCTTAGAAAGGGAGCTGTGGGTATAAGCTGGATTGTCACTTGTAGAATTAAATCACAGTTCTTCTAAAATACGAGTACAATTAAAATGATCAGCTTTACAAGCAAAGGCAACGTTGTTACCTGCTGTGCTTCCAGTAAATACACGTACATGTACATCTAAACTGTAATTCTACATCACAGTCATTCTAAATAAAAAGGTTAATTCAGGGGAAAAATAATTGCTACAAATAGCCAATAATGAACAACATAATTCTCTTAAGGACATATCCGTGTACTGAAAGAAAGACATGTCGATGCACAAATCAGTTTCGATATACCCATGGTTTTAAGGCAATGTTACAGAATTAATGCCGAAACAAGACTCACTTTTTTTTTTCATTAACCAGATTTGAGATATATTTCTTTTTCTGATGTTGAGCAAAAAACAGTATAACATTATTTTTAAAGTCGTGTGATACGATTCTGATATTAACAAAACATTTCTGGAAAAAATATCGTTACGGAGGTTAGCCTTTTATGGAAGTTAATTTTCAGCAATAAAAAGTTGAAATTCTGTTAGTTTGAACATATTTTATTGTCTATAAACTTTACAATTGGAATCGGACAAAAGTTCTAAAAACTTTATTCACCCTTTCCCTACATGTTAGTTACATCCAACATATTTACACATATGAGTTTCAGCTTTAAATGAATAAATACAGAAAAGCATAATAATCAAAGGATCAAACATTCAGTAGGATACATTCATTATATAATGGTACTTATACCCTCCGTATGTCATTCGGAATAAAGTTTTTGAAAACATGCAGATGACAACTATCAGCCAAGCAAGCTTCCGATCGTGATTAAAATGCATTTAACATATTCATTTTCTCTTACAAATGAAAATTATCAGGAATATACATATACATTTGATAAAGCCCTATACAGGTGAATTTCTTAACTCTAAAATTTCAAAATTGACCTCGATAATTTTATGATCGTGTATTTGAAAAAAAATATTCCTCGCCTACCACATTTCAAAGCAGATGATATATGTAAACAATAAACCTGAAATGAAATTTAAAAATTCTGATTTTAATACCTCAATCAGTATTCTTTGAATCTAGATACTTTATTTAAAGAAAAAAGTTGACTGTCTATTGAGCAGTCAAATTCCTCAAGCGTTCGAAGGATGTCAGCCTTTTTGGAAACATATTTTGACCAACGACTGTACACATTCGACACTTTTTTTATGTTGACATTATTTTAATGTGTTATTGGCCTTTTGAAATTCATATATATCATGATAAACGTGTTATTAAAAATATGTCTCAAACAAACTTATTTTAAGTCGAAACGTGTTAACCCAAGTCCCGAAACGTGTTGTCAGGTCCCGAAACGTCGGGGCCCCGACACATCGCGCTCCCGAAACATCCATAATTCGATGAGAAAACCAATTCCGAGATTGTCTCGTTCAACCAGACACTCGACTGTCTCCGTAAATCTCCGAGAGCCAGAGAGTCTGGTAAAGAATCACATAAGCGTTTGTAACCGTCAGAGGGCGCTATCTTGTTTTCATTTTGATGACCCCTTTTGAAAACGAATGTTATATATGTTTGTTCTGTTGGATTATGACTTTATATTAATAAACTGATCTTTAATTTGGGATATCAAACGAGTAATAACAATATCAATCGAAGAAATGTGTATTACGCAGGTAGGCTACACTACTTTCACTTTTGCTTCGTAAAAGAATTTTTGCAAGACATTATAAAACACACTTACCTATAACCGGTGAGCAATACCGTAAACAATTCCACTCTAACTACTTTAACTTCTAGACATGTAACTTTTAAATCTTTAAGTTGTTTTTCTGTCGATTTATCATGTATTTATTTCAAATTGTGGAGGTGTGTTCTTTTCAGCCAATCAAAAACTTTACCAGAATTTCGGTAAGCCTCGTTTTGGCGTTAAAAACGCTATCACGTATCTTTACCAGACTCTCTGGCTGGTCGGAGATTTACGGAGACAGCCGAGTGTCTGGTTGAACGAGACTAATTCCGAGAGCGAAAGCCTCGTTTTGATTTAGATCCGACCAAGGTCCCATGTGTTGTTTCTATATATAAAAATACCTCTTCTATATATAAATATACCTCACTTCATGTGACCAATGCATTGATGACGATCTTTCTCAAAAACCAAGGTCCCATGTGTTGTTTCTATATATAAAAATACCTCTTCTATATATAAATAAACCTCACTTCATGTGACCAATGCATTGATGACGATCTTTCTCAAAGTGTTAAAGGAGTTAGAAACTTCGCCAAAATGTGTGAAGAAGTAAATTCAGAAATTGCAAAAGATATCTTAAACAGCGTGGATAACTTCTTGTTCGACTGTGACGGTAAATATATTAAAGCTTGAATGATAAAGAATTGGAACAAGTGGGAAATTTATATTTTGTAATTTTGAAAACATTCAGATTTGACATTTCAGATTTCGGGTTCGGTGCTTTCTGGGTTTCACCAAATTCTGTTACACTTTTTTACTATTGGTAACAAATTGTTAACATTGGTAACAAATGTTTACCATATTTAGCTAATAATCTATTTTCACATATAGATGTACAATCGTATAGGGTTATAGATGTCACTGGATGGATGTACAATCATTTAGGGTTAGATTGGTCATGTGATGGCGACAAGACCTGTTTAAAGCTATCTCTTGGACAAATATTGTTTTAATCATATTTCTTAGTGATTATGTGGTATTGAAATTTCCAAATAAGATGTATATATTGTGTAATCCTTTATTTCATATAAACATACACATTTATCCTACCTTTTTCTAACACCTTTACTTACCCATGCATTACTATCATGGTTTCTTACTGATTTTTCACTTACCCAACATTCTTCAACTATTCTCCTTGTTAATGCTTTATGTTTCTTACTATCTCACTATTCTTTCACTTTATCATTCCACCATAGCCCCTCTTTACGCTTTGGTTACTCAAGTGTTACGCTGTATGAATGAAGTCGACATTCTTGTCTGCCGTCGATGCATGAGAATCATCTTTCTTTACCTCTTTAGATTTGACGACTTAGATCAAGGGTAATGATCTAATGATATATCGTGCGGCGGTTGGAAATTATTACTCCGTGTGTCACAAGATAATCATTCGGAAAAAAGATTTTTTTATTTCAAAATACGGCAACCTAACAAAAAGAATATTGTTTTTCCTCTTCAAGGTACGTATACGACTTGATCAAGAGAAATATACCAAACATCCAATATGGGTGAATTAAAAAAAATGACCAACATATATTTATCAACCTGCACTAAATACAGGCAATGGGAATAAATTTCTATGTCTCAGCATATGTCTTTAGATAGTGTCTAAATACCTGCCAAATATCTCATTGATATCTCAATTCACAAAAATGTTATGCCCAAAAATGATGCTAAAAATGTGAGGAGTGCAACACCTTTTTGTGACATTTTGAAGAAGATCTTTTTTGAAGGTCTGTGAAATAAATAATAATGGTTTTTGTTGGAAACAAAGACTTTCCTGATAATATTCAAAGTATTGAACTTTACAAACTGTAGCAACTTTTGTTTGACCAAGTTGTGGTCATGGCTGATGTTGAAAAAATGTTATACCATTGTCAGGAGTGCAACAGAAAATATGTAGTGTTGCCGGAAAAAAACCCACATCGATTTAAAAAATCTTAAAGGCAATTAAGTCAAAAGAGAATTTTCAAAGTGTAAATAACTGATACACAATTTAAAATTTTAAAACGTTATATAAATCACAAGCAGTATTAATGAAAGTCTAGTATCTGTGCATACCCAATAATGTCAGGAGTGCAACGTTTCATGTTTTACTCACCAGTATGGAAAAACTTTTATCAGTATATGATTCTCTGGTTTTTATTTTGGAAAATAAAGACACAAAGAACATTTTTACCAAATAGATTTATCAATACAGGGTCTGTCTGTGTTTCAGATCTATATTTCTATGGTCAGGAGTGCAACACATTTTTTTTTAAAGATTCAAGTTATATGATGGAAAGGCTTCTATTCATGTGAAGAAAATCTTTAATAATGATCTATTTGAATAATTTAGTACTAAATTATTGACAGTTTTATTATTAAAATTCTTTTTTTTTATTTTATCAATTCAGATTTTTTTTTCTTTTCTTTGATTTTTTTATTAATGTAAAAAATAAACACACTGAAAGATTGTTATAAATTTAAAGTATTTTCACCTCAACTTCACTGAAACAACAGAACAAGTTCAGATGTAATTTTCGCTTCACAATTCTACTTTAAAGACTCTCATGCTCTTGGTCAGGTGTGCAACAAATATGTTAAAATTATTACTGATCAAATATGAATAAATATAAAGAAAAATTTGATGAGTAGAATGTTTCTGGTTGACCTCAGTTGCTTACAGTGTTTGTCCTGTGAAAGAAAATATACTATGAAATATATTTGATCTTCTAAATGTATATTTTAGCTTGTTTTTGGACATAAAAAGGGAATAATTCAAGATGTAAAGCCAGGTTTTAATATTTCATGTGTGTTTTAATTATGAATTATTGGACTATAAATATTGCACAATTTCGTTCCCACGTTGATGTTGCCAACACTTTATGAATTTTTGTGTTCTATGATTTCAATCTTTAATATTACTGCAGTCAGGAGTGCAACAAACCTGTTTTAAAATTATCAATGATCCTCATCTATCTTTTATAAAAAATAAATTGAAAAAAAATATTTGATATTATTTGATGTTCAAAACATTATCAACTCATTACAGACATTTTACAGGCAATTCAGAGAATAGTTTCCATCACTGAACACATATCTTTAAAATACAGTGTGTATATATATATATATATATATATATATATATATATATATATATATATATATATATATATATATATATATATATATATATATATATATATATATTACACACTGCAAATAATCGTGTTTTGTAGTCTTGAAAATATGAAAAACTTGCCGTAAATTATGAAAAAAAGATATCAACACGACGACCTGATTTACAAACTAATAATGAGTTATTGTGTGTTTTAATTTTTAAAACAATGTAAATAAAATACATATCAGATGTCAGGAGTAAACACAATAATGTAAAATAGTGTCACTTCAAAATCTAGTATTTTTTACAAGAAAACTTGTATATCAAAATTTTTTGCTTAGACTTTTCCATTCTGAGGTCTCTGGTTTTATCCTACATTTATAACCCCCTCAACCGGAAATTTTGTATCTTGTTTGAAGTCTTACCATGTATTGCGGTATTGCGGTAATTTTCGAGGAATACATGAGTGGTTTACAATAAAGAGGCTCGATCAGGGGTGTCTGAAACGATTTATTTTACAAGAAAAAAGTCTCTCGAAGCGAACGATGTCATTTTAAAGTAGGTTAATGATTGATATATTCACAAAATGCGAGCTTGAAGCGGGGGTGCCTGAAATCGATTTAGGTACCTTGTGGAAAAGAAAAAGAAAGGGGTGACCCCATATACGAAACTAGTGCCTGTGGTGTAGCGTGTGCATTTATTCGGTTGCGGTCATGTACACACGTGGTTCGAAATACCCCAACCTGTAGGGGGCTTCAAATGCGGTAATAACTAATAAATATATAAGATATTATCAAAAACAATCAATGCTTATGGAAGCTAATAAAACTGCCGTTCTATCAATACCTTATATGGCATGCTTCACCCACCAACAACCCCACGACATCGATGAGAAATACCATGTAATGTCTCCTTTGAAAAGGATAGCAGGTTAATGAGTTATATTATTTACTTATTAACGCATTATGTTAATTTCTTTTTTTTTTGTACGTAATAAGTATAAACCATGCTGTTAATGATTGTTTGGTTGTCACACGTGTGCATATGTCGTGCGAGGTACATCGATTAGGTAAAATACCGAGAGTCGCGAAATGCCGGGTGATTCGGAATACCCTAAATGACTGTAGGTCACCAATCTTGCAAGTAATCTAGAGTGTGGGTAGGATTGGCGAATGACGTCATACTCATATTAAATATGGCGGATGTATCTGTTTCTTGGTTATTTTAAGGATGTTTCCATTTTAAATAATTGGGAATGATGTGGTCCACATGTTCAAAGAGTATTAAAAGAAAGAGATACCAATCCTGGATTTAATGCATAAAAACAATGAAATTTAGGGACAACAAGCCTCTTAGTGAACTCAAAAATTTCGGCGCCAGCTGGCTCCTAATCATAAAAATTTAGTCGGCAGTGCAAATTTTTAGTCGCCAGGAAATTTTTCTTAAGCGCCAAATTTAAAACCTAGTTTAAGTCAATATATACATAGGGGTAGTGACAGGAGGGAGTGTCTCGCGACCCTATTAGTAATATTCAAGAAGTTTTAATTGATCGCTTCTTTCTAAGAAACTTTGATTTAATGAAATATTCTTTAAAACTATAATATTTATTAAGGATTTTTACATAAAGAACATTTTCTCCTCGTCTGTGCAATAACAACCTAACACGAAGTTGTAGACGATGTCTTTAAGGAGTGAGAATTTAATTGGCAAACAATTGACCATATCACCCGTCCAATTTACTGCACTCCATAATTGTCGATTTTCGGTAGTCAAAAATTACAAGGGGCAGCTATTGTCTTATATAATCTACTTATGTTCTGACACGAGGCGTTTGCACGAGCTCTTTTAAAACAAACAAGATGACAAAGTAAACACAAGAAAGTCCATTGCTAAAAATGATTTTAGGAATGTTTTAAGAATGAACAGAACTCACTATATTCTTTAATTGACAATGCAATATCTTTTGCTACTTTAGTCTGCCCAGACTTTCTCTTCGGTTTTAACCATTTCCTCTGCCGGAATTAATATTTCAGTACTAGTGAGTACTGGGTAATTTCAATATTAAAAGTTCTAATAGTTATAAACTTTGACACAGCAAAATGGATACTAATTTTGATTGATATGAAGATTGGATTTGAGTATTCCCAATGCTAACTCACTTCTAAAGCAATTGTATGAAATCTCTTTGAACGTAGGAGTATTATGGAATGCCAGTGAATCCATTCCTGGAAGCTTGGAAACTATTAAAGGACTCAAATCTTTGGTAAGGCATCCATTTTATATCTAACTAAATTTATTTTCGATTCCTTTTGAACATAAACCTTGTCATATGGAATTTGTAAATGATATCAAATAATTAATTATATCAAATGTCAATATGTACTTAAAACAATTTTGAATATTTTAAGTGAGTTTTGTGCATGTTAAACCTTTAATGAATTGTTATGAGATAATGCATGTACAAGGTTGACTATATTTACTGTATACAATCAATGTTTTACTCTGTATGAAGGGGAAGAAGATATTTTATGTGACCAATAACAGCACAAAGACCAGGTCTGAGTATGCCCAGAAATGTGTTAATCTGGGGTTTCCTGCCATTGAAGTGAGTAATATAAAGCTAGAATATAACACAGAAAAGAATGTTTAACAACCAAGGTATAATTAGTTTATCTTCCCTATTACTGACAAGTTGCACTTAGTCTAATGGATCATGTATCCACTCTGAGTCTTGCTTCATTCTCTGAGTTGTACTAGCTTCACATATTGAGTTAGGTTTCATTTCTATAGCCATATGATATGCCCAAAACACTAAACTTTGTGGCTTAGCTATAGATATATGCTGCACATTGAGTCCCCCCCCCCCCCCCAACTCTTCAAGTCCTTTATTCCACCTACCAATATTGACTTGTAATGTGTAATCTATATTTTGAGTCAAATGCTTTGAACTCTAAGCTGAACGTGCTCCACTCTCAAATGCTCCAACCCCTATCCTGCAATGAAACACAGAGTTATATGTATTATTCTTTATATGCCAAGGTTGAACTCTAATGCATCCCTCCATTGATTTCCTTCACTCTGTGAGCCATATGCTCCACTCTCAGGTCAAGGACCTCTATCTTGTACCACACCTAACGAAACATGTCAGTAATATTACTATTTTGTTGAATATTTTTTCCTATAAGTACAATGCACCTTTATACCTGTATTTGAAATACTATATTTTACTTTTAAAGAGTATACAATATTGTATTTTGCATTGATTTTGCAGAATACATCGGAATTTAGAATCCTGATTAATGAGCATAAGTTAAGAGTCGGTATGAAAGCTTGTGACCCATCATGTTAAACTGTTGTTCTGAAATTTTATTTTTCTACCCATAATAAGTTAAGTAGGTAATTCCTTGAAAGTCAATTACAAAGTATGAAAATGTTGTTCTAGACCGAAATGTACTTCACCTGAATCATCTATTACGCTCATCTCTGTCTTAATGCACGTTTATTTGAAAATCATGTAAAATCAGCATGAAAATTTAGTTTTAATTTTTTCAGGAGGAAATTGTATGCACTAGTTACATATCAGCCCTTTACTTACATAACATGAATTTCAAAGGGAAGATTTATGTTGTTGGAAATTCCAGCATAGGAGCAGAATTGGATAGATTTGGTCTAAATCACACTGGGATTGGTGTAAGTGTTCAAACATGTCTTAGAACGAATTCGATGTCGATATCGACAATATTAGGTACTATCAAGTACCATAAAATTGGAAATACTGGATACCATATAAGACTCAGTGCCATGTCGATATCGTATAACAATATACGCACAAATATAAAGAAATATTGTAGTCAACTGTAAAAAAGTAATCTATCTATATCGTAACTTGATCGTGTCTTGGACATAACTCAAAGTGTTCAGCTTATTTTTTTTTTTATAGTCTTATACATATTCTTATGTTTTATTCTCTACTCATGTTTAACTGTGATAAAATGCTAAAATGATTTAAAGTCAATATAATTATATGTTATCACATTTATTTCAAGCACTTTTTTGGATGAAATATGTTTATTTAAAGTATATATTATGTGGTAAATAGAATCTTGCATTTTCAATTAACTTGTAAACATCAATTTAAACTGTAAACAACTTTCATTCAATGGCATTTATATAAATGCTGTGACAAGAAGCCTGGAAATAAAAATGTGACAGGAGCTTTAATTTTAGATATAGTGAATTCAACACTGTCAATCTCGATATGTTATGTTCAATAAATATTAATATGATAATGTGCACAAGATACATTATACGTAGGATCTCCCATGGTTTGTAGTTGGATATGATTTTTTATCCAACTCATTGTGTGTTTCTATCCCCAAACCTTGGCGAGGGGATAGAAAACACACAAAAAAATCATATCCAACCATAGACCATAGGAGATCCTTTCTATCACTTTTTACACATAACTATCATGTTTTCATGTTTTACACTGTTTATGAATTCACTACGTCATAATTAACTGTTGATCTGAAAACGATATCAAATGAGTGATATTCACTGTATAAAGGAGTAAACAAGTGATAAGAAAGGGACATTATAACTTTGAAACTTTTCATGCTAAAGAAATGTTCATTTAACAATTTATTTAATTTTTTATTTTTAAGCCAGACCCTCCAGAGGCCAATCAGGAATTTTTTCAAATTGTGTCCAGTTTGAACCTTGACCCTGAGGTCAGTATATTTATCTGGGTCAATGCACATTGTTTTGAAGCATTGTTTGATAAATTTCTTAATGATTTTTCAGTTTCCTAACTAAATTTCACCATTTATCAGGATTTGCATGTGATTTTAATTATTTTAATTAAATGTTTCAGATACATAAAGTGAAGAACCAGTACAGAATATCAAAGTTTTTAATTATTTAAGGCAGGAAGTCACATTTTTCAAAAATATGATTTCCCTTCTCTTCAAAATACTACCAAAAAAATTCATAATTATTATTACTTTCAGATTTTTAAACTTTTTTCGAGATGTATAAAAATGAATACACCAAAATGACCTCTCGTTTTTGTGAAATAACTTGTTAAAGTAGCAATACTACAATCGTAAATTCTTCGGGGGAAATTATATTTTATTTAGGAATATGTCATCTGCCTTAATGTTAGGAACCATTAAGAGCTTCTAATTAGTCATATGTAAGTTACATATTAGTATGTGTTCAGTTCATTTAGAAAAAGGAATGCTCATAAGATCAAAGTGAAGTACGACGGATAAGGGGGGTGACTTGATGTTATATTTTTCTCTGTATAAAGAATTGTAATTAATCTTAATAGAAATATTGAAAAGGGAGTGATCTGATAGTTCAGTAGGTGGTAGTACATTAAATTGCCTGATATTATGAAAAAAACTGACCTGATACCAACATGTAGTCAACAGTGCTTGAACCCTTTAAATTGCAAAAAGTAAAATAACCTAACGGGTTAACCTTCCATTTAAGAAAGACAGTCTAGAACTTTTACAGATATCTAGAAGTAAATGATCATGTAGATTAGATTTGGTGTCAAGTTGACGTCTTTGTTCAGCTACACCTCTTCATATATTTCTGGTAGTGGACACTCTTGAAAAGTGTCTGTTATTGTATCATGATCAATAGAATCATGAAGCCCCCCATTCTAGAATTGAAGTCACCACAAATAAGAATTTCTACCATTTTCTCTGAATTTTGAGATATCATTTTCTAGATTGAAAAAATAGATTTAGAAGTATGTTTGTTCAAATATGGTTTTGCATAACAAAAACATATATAACACGGATGTTTTTGTTTGAGTTTGAAAGTAAGTTTGTTCGAACCATACACCATAGTCATTTTCATGATTTTTTTAAAAAAGAATTTCTGTAAAGTAGGTTTAATAAAGATAAGTATTCCATCATAGGGCCTTCCCTTTTTGTTTTTTTAGACATAACATTATGTGGTTGGTGAATAATCTGAAAGGCTTTTGGAGAGTCTATTAACATAGTTTCAACTTAACGTAGTACTTCATACTTACTACTTAGACTACTAAAATAATCATAATCTAACTTATGGTCATGCACTCAGACAATGTACATTCCAAAATGCAATATTCAAAAACATCACAGAATTAAACCTTTACACAGTGTGCATAGCAAATGTTATGTGATATAGCATTACAATGTTTGTATACAAATGACTAGCTAGATATTTAAATACTGAGTATTTAGAATTTTCATTTTAACACCCATATTACACAATTGCATTTCACAATGCATAGCAGTACTTCTAACAACCGACGCGCACGATGTTTTCCCTGTAGTTGTCTTGGTCTTTCATATTTGGGCCATACTTGTCCCCATCCTGATGAAGTCCAGGATTGTCTGCTGTTTCCAGTTCGTATTTGCTTTGATCGTTCCTAAGGAGCTTCATACTGACCATAATCTTTCAAAGCAAGGTGTGGGTTGAGGTTTATTTTGATTTTACTGTCTAGTGATCTCTTTTCTACGTTATTGAAATTCATGCCATCTCTAACATACATGTTTGGTTCACTTGAGGATGGAAAAGGTGTGCTTTTGCCCTTTGGTTCAATGAAGGAGGAATTTGACTGACCTCTGTTTACACAGTTCTTCAATTGTTTTATTTGTTTCTCTTGTTGTAATCATCATTCTTTATCCTCTAGAATACTGGTAGGAAGTGCATTACATTTCCTTTCGGTGGAGAATTCAAGATGCGAGCAACATTTTCTGTTACTGTATTTTAAGTGTTACGTGTGATAGCGCTGGAATCAATGTCATTACATCCGACACCGATGATGAAGTGCTTGGGTGTTTCTAATTTTTCTAGTCACTACACTGAAATTTTAAGGTCACTCCACTGAAATTCTTTTTTCCTTGTGGGAGAAATGTGATATCAAGTTTTTTATTTCTAAAGATTTTTTGGGACACAAGACCATGACCATGGGAGTCATTAACAATGACGTCTTGTTGAATTCTCCCATCCACCCCCATCAAAAAAGAACTTGTATTGAGAGAGAGAGAGATAGAGAGAGAGAGAGAGGTGAATAAACCTATAATAGCTAGGTCTTCATCCATAGGCTATGCCTACCACTTCTCTAAAGAGAATATTATAAAAGGTAAAAAAGAAGACTAACTTGCACTGGTATTGAAACCTCCTAAAGGTAACTTCTTTTGTTTAATGGATAATGTTTAACTTAAGAGTTTCAAAGCTGATAAGCATTACTGGGTAAGAATGTACAAAGATATGAGGGAACACAACAAAATGCATTAAAACAATAAAAAAAGGGACATAAACATTGTATAAGAAAGTCTTAGATATACACGTAATTATAATTTATCAGGGAAATACATATAATCTACATTTATTCTGGTAATATGGTCAGAGGTTAGGGACCAAAAAAATGTCATTGCTTGTATCATGTTCTTTTTTTAGATTAAATTTGATTATTTTTTTTTGTTTTGTATGCAGATTAATTGTGTCCTGGTTGGATATGACAAATTCATTTCCTATCCTAAGATAATGAAGGCAGCTTCCTATGCCAGACGAGAGGGTACCTTGTTTCTGGCTACCAATGAGGACTCTCATCAACATTTGAATGTTCCATATGTGATTCCAGGTAGGGCTTCCTTACCTCTTTCCTTACCTCTTTTCTTGACAGTCTTTCTCTCAAAAAGCCAAATACGGACGGAGTATTGTGATCTATGTTTAATTGATCACATCAGTGAACAAAATATTTCTAAACTATTCTAATTATATAATTTATATTATGATTTATTAGGACTTAGCAAAATTTTGGTTCTAACCTGTCCATAAGCAGTTGCATTTACTGTCTATACTTCATACTTAGCAAAATTTATCTACTACAGATACATTTAAAACATTTTACCCTTTTGATAGTCAATAAAATATGTTCAAAACATTTTATCCACAATATTTTTGAATAGGGATTGTACGCTCACTGATAACGATTTAGAGATTTCAAACTATTTTCCTTAAAATTTATTATCATTTTTGTTTGGAAACCTTTGTCATTACACTGTACATAGATAACCAAGTTTGTGTATTGATGTGCAATTGTAAGGATAGTTAATTCTGCCCAGTGTCAATTAAGGAACTAGATTTTATATGGTCCTGTGTCTGTATAATTTATAATTATTTCACTTTTGAAACCCATTGAAAGAATTTCCTACCTTACATTTTAATTTTAGCCTGTATAATTGTGCCTATTTTATCATTTAATCCTCAGGGACGGGGGCCATCGTTGCTGCTGTTAAGATTCCTGCGAGGAAGGAGCCGTTATTGATGGGAAAACCAAAGATAAACATGTTTAAATGCCTACAGCAGGCATACAATCTGGACCCCTCCAGGTGTATAATGGTGGGAGACACGTAAGTACCTGTTTAAATGTCTACATCAGGCATTCAATCTGGACCCTCCAGGTATGTAATTATGGGGTACAGGTAAGGTGGGATTCACTGTATATATACTATTGTGGATTAAAACTGCAAATAAGTCATTTTTGGTAATATTTTACAAAAATACATGCATATGCTTAGAAGGTAATTATTGCATACAAACAAAAGTTTTCACTGCATAGAGTAATTAGGTAAAATATAAACAAGTTGTGGTGGTCATAGCTTTGGATGTTTTCATATTTACATATTGTTCTTTTTTGGAGCCCTGTATCTGATATATTCATTTAACTGAAATTTACAGATTTGTGAACTGACAAAGCCTTAACTCGAAATGCTCCTGGTTTTCTCCAACTTACAGATCCAACTTTTCCATCATAAAAACTGACAAGAATTCATTCAGGGAGATCTAAATGAACAATATTTCTGTACTTTTTATTCTACATTACTATATTTCCTTTTAGGTGTCTTACAGACATATCAATGGCTACAAACTGTGGTATGAAGTCCCTCCTGGTCCTGACCGGTGTCTCATCTTTGTCAGATGTAGAGGAATACAAGACATCTGAGGATCCCGTCAAGCATACATACGTACCTACGTACTACACCAGCAAACTAGGACAGCTGGGAAAGCTTCTAGGATTTAGTATACCAAAATAATTTTAGAAATGTTTTAATTAGGAAAATTTAAAATATTTTTATTCTAGAGTGTTCCTTTGTAATTTTATCTGTGAGTGGATGCACTGTGTTATTTATAGACTTGTACCCTAGATAATTATTAAACCACATGCCTTTGGGTAGATGTTAACCGATTCAGGATCCTCAGTCCAATCAGTCATTTTTTCCAATCTTGTTTGATTATTTTAGATATTAGTTTTGTTAAATCTTGAAGCAGTTGTTGTTATAAATTTAATTGTTAAATAGTGAATACTCACTTATCTAATCAGAAGTACCATTATATGTATGTACAACTATACCAGCATATGTGCAATACTTCAACTGTGAGTTTCGCAGGACTGTTAAGGCGTACTACGATTAAATCAACGGAATATAAACGCGCATAAATATATACCATTTTAAACTGAGTTAATTTTTGTAAAGCTACTATATTATCACATGACTTTAATTTTAATTGAAATAACATTGTATACCCCGCTCGGTACGGAATTTGGTTTGGTCACGTTATTTGACAGTCAGGTGATAAATGCATGTAATGTGTACTGTACGTAGGTCATAAACAAATTTCAATATCGGAAGGGCATACCCTAGTTATTATTAAAAATTTCAGTAATACATTGTATCTACATAACTTGTAGTTTATGAAAAGTGCTGCTACTTTAAATAGAATTCGCATTTTATTAGTTTAAATTTCAAGTTATTTGGCTATAGTCGAAATATGTGTGACCTTTACCATGTATTTTATTTATTTATTTAGTAATGCTCTTGATTTCAGGAAAGCAGCAGCACTTTTCAAGTTAAGGAATGTTTCCGTAATGCATATTCAAAAAATGGTCAAGATCTATTAAGTGTATGCCCTTGCGAAAAGGCGATTTAATGAGGCACCTCGGAGTGAAACATGCACACCCTGTGCATAAAAACACGGTAGAATTAATTCAATACATTCTCTCGATAGTTTTTAAATAATGGCACTAAACAAATGTTTCAGATTTTTAATAATGGTCTTCCTAAGATTTGCAATATTCTGTTTAATAATAAAATGCGTTTTTGATTGTGGAAAAATAACTTGATCCGCCTCTCACTGCACATAAAATACGTCAAATTTTACCATGATGACGTCATGTCGACAAGTGCATTGTGATCAGTGACTTGTTTATATCTTGCTATGTGGGATTTAACTAGCGACAAAAATGAATGCAGTGGTAAGTTTTGATGTAGTTCATCACTCTTATGCAGTTTAAATCTGCAAATTATTTCATTTTCTGTTGTTTTGAGGAATTGCTATATTTGTGTGATGTCACTGTAGACATTTCCCGTATAAATTAGGCCCCGTCTACTTTATGCAACCTTAACAGAGCTGCGTTATTTCAATTATGGTGTTGTAATTTTTACGTGATTCAGTTTATAGGATTTTATAATTCAAAAAATCATTTCATATAAAGGAACATTTTTTTCTGATTTCTTGATGTGTTACATTTTATGTGAATAAAATAAAATAGCTTATACCTATAATAAGATTTTCTCCATTTATTCAAATATATGACTGAATCTGATGATTATATTATTATTATTATCATAATCTCTGGAAAATGATATTTGGAGAATTATATTTTGTTGCAAAGACATATCCCTTTCTTAAAAGAGTAGATATGTTTCTCTCCTTTCTGCAATCTAGCAACCTGGAAAAGATCATATCGCCCTGCAGACAATGTCAACTGTAAAAGCTTGTCTTTTTTATTGTGATGTCCGCATTCCTAGTTTGACAGTTGACTATGATATAACTATGGTGTGATACATTTAGTTGTCCTCTATGATGTTTTCATTTGTTTCATGGAAAACAAGATGTGTTTATGAAATGCTGACGCCCCCGTAAAACAGCTCATGGTAAAGGTTAAAGGTTCTCAAATGCAATTCAAACTCCAAGGTCAAGAGATAAAAAAATTTGGTACCCAAGGAAAGGTCTTGTCTCAAGGAACCCACCTGTGAAATATGAAAGTCATAGCCTAACCGTTCAAAAGTTATGGCTCAGATTAATGTTTTTCAAAAGTAGGTCAAAGGGTCAAAATTGTTGGTACCCAAGGAAAGGTTTTGTCACAAGAAACACACCTGTGAAATATGAAAGCCATAGCAATAACCATTCAAAACGTATGGTCAAGAATAATGATTTTTAAAACTGGCTCAAACGTCAAGGTCAAAAATATTTGTATCAAGGAAATGTCTTATCACAAAGAATACACATATGAAGAATGAAAGCTATAGCACCAACCATTCAAAATAAAGCTATGATCAAGATTAGAGTTTGGTAAACTTTAGCAAAAGTGGGTCAAACACCAATGTCAAGAGGTCAGATATGTTAATACCAAAGAAATGGTCTAGTCACAAGGAATACACACGTGAAAAATGAAAGCCATAGTTCCAACCAATCAGTTAAGGGCAAGGTTAATGTTTTTGCGGAGAAACAGACAGACAGATGAACGGAGGGAGCAAGAATTATATGCCCGCGAATCTTTGATTACGGTGACATAGAAAATGACCTTAAAAACATAGCATTTATTTATTGGATTTAAAATTAACGGCACGAAAGGGAAACAATCTTAACATCCAAAATTCTTGTTGTTTCAGTCGTAAACATGTAAGACAATTGACAAATTTTGACTGAAGTTTAAGACTGATTCATGATCCTGGGGTCTAGTGATTGAAATATAGAGTATACATAGATTTGCAAGTTTTTGGATTGACATATAGATGCTTCTCTTGAATTGTTAAACATTTATCTTCAAAGCTCAGTTACCATATGTACAGAATGATGCTGGAAGTTTAGTAAATACTTCTGAATTACTTCAATCGAAGCTTCTTCAAAATTGCCAGAATTGAAAAGCTTTTCAAGATGTGCAAGGAATGTTTTTGTTGGTTTTAGAATTGGGACTAACATGACTTCAATGACTTCATTTTTTAATGGGTGGCGTGAGAGATTTTCAAGTACATGTAGTACAACATTTTCTTGATTATCTGTTGAAGAAAGATTCAATAGTCTTAGAGTCTCAGTATTTCCAGATTGAGCGAATTTTTGATAGAGCTTTTCCCAAATTCTTGATACTGAACATTGCAAGGACTGTAGAACGTGGACAATGAGTTCCCACATTGAATTGTCGTCTGTTTGATTTACACAGCGATTTGAAGAACAGCAGCTCCTTCTGCTTTGTTCAAACTGTTCCTCAATTATTTCTGAAATTTTTTCACTGGGGCAGTCATGTATTCCACTGAAGTATCTGAACAGATTTGTACCAGTCCTCAAAGACAAAACAACAATGCCTTGTACTTCTTCAGCCGACAGTTTGGAGACATGGGCTAGAAGTACGATAATCAAGACTACATCGTCTGCTCGAATGAACATTTCCAGGAAGCGTTTAGCAATATCACTTGGAGGAGGGAAATGTTGGATAATATTGCGTGTAATATCTCTGTTTCCAGAAGCAGCATAAGCAGAATTTAACAGGTCTTCCAATGTGCTATCATTGAAGACTGGCTTCAGTTCATGAACAAGATGTAAGAAAATTTCAGGAGTTGATTGAACAGCCTTGTGCAAGAAATTTTCAATTTCAACCTGACGTATTTTGTCATGCAACCTCAGTACGATTTGAACTATTCCTAAGTTAGAAGTATCAATCGACGATGTCAAAAGATAGGACTTTTGTTGAGAAGTTAACACTTTCTTTGGTCTTATTCCACGTAAGACCTGAACCACAATTGCAGAATTCTTTGTTCCGATAGACATTAGAAGCAGACGATAAGCTTGGTCTCTTTCAATCGATCTTTTCATTTTCAAAGGCACACATATAGAGAGAAGAATTTTCAGATCATTGAGCTCCAGTGCTTCTTTAAAAATTTGAACGGTGTCCTCCTTAGATAGCTTAGACTTTGGGAGAAGATGTCCGCAGACAACATCTACGACACCAGGATTACCAGATTTCAAGGATTCAGACATGAGTTTGTATTTATAATGCTTCGGAAAAAGAACACTTGGTCTAATTGCTGACATAACTTCTTTTATGATGGGTACACTATGGGTTTTGATCGTTTCCAGATACAGAACAAGTTTTTGTTTGTTCAAAATCGGTTCCTGGTTATCTAAGAAGTTCTGGACTGATCTGGCAATCTCTGGAAAGCTGTTCTTGCCGATTACTCGGATAAGTTGATCGTAAGGATTTTCCATTATGCTAGATATTAGTTCTGCCGTCTGGTCTTCCTCTTGACTTTCCCCTGACTCGTTGATTGCATTTTCTCTGTTATGGTAGGCACAACGATGGTGATCTGTGAGAAGGTATAAATTAAATAATAAATACTATAAATAATAGATCATGATCATAAAATAATGTTCTATTTATCCTACAACACGTGTTAGTCTAATGGCTTTGATTCCTTTATCGTTCACAGGATGACACTCTGCCATTTAGTCAACTGAATGGACACTGAAAGCTCTGGAAAGGTCACTGAATGGCAGAACTTTGCATCCAGTCACCTTTCAAAAAGGTTTAGTTACCTTTTAGCTAACCGAATGGTAGAATTTCATCCTTTGGTTGCTCACTTCACAGGGCTATCAGCTATAATTGTAATTTTTTGCGCGAGAAAATATTTGCGAGATGTGCGACCTACTCACACTGCATCGCATATATTTGCCTTCACGAGAAAATCATAGCATATGTGGGCGACTCAGGGAAAGCTCAATGAAAAGATTTCTAGATGAAGATGGAAACGAATTCTAAAGGTTTTTTGAATATTAACTGGTTTGCGGGAGAGTTAAAAAGGAAATATAGAGACAAATTCCTTTTTCCCCTCAACATTATTCAGTTTGCTCTAAAATGCATGCGTAATAATGAATAGAATAGATCAGGAACTGGCGTAATGATAGCAAATCCTAATTAAGGCAACTTTTACATGCATTTCTGTGCATAGCTGTTGCATAGTTTAGTGGATATTATCGATATATCATCTGCTTATTTATAATATAGTATCCGAAATGGAGGAAAATAATTAACTCAACACTGTCAATTAGAGAAACTACAGCTACGGCAAATTCTTAAGTAGCAAGATGCTATTGTCCTTCAAATATCAATGCTGCAGACATTTTGTATATATACATGCTTGGCGATTGACTTTATGCCTCTAATATTTTATTTTGAGGATATTAACATAATCTAAAATAATTTATATCTTTTGTTGTGCGCAACAATTGAATTTAAGCTCTCTTCAAATCATTTATCATATTTTCAATTCTGAATTATTGCGCAAATTAATCAATTGTTAATGAATTTATACGCACAGTGATTGATTTGATGAGGAGAGCAATAACTCGATTAATACATGCAATTTTAAATTACTGCGTGCATCACTTCAATTAAAACACACAATTATTAAATTATTGCTCTTTTCAATAGATATAATTTATTCTTAAATGTTAATGTGTGCATCAATTTAATTAACTCAACCACATTGTGGAATAATTGCAAGAAAGATAATTTAGACCTCGACACAAATGATTTATTGTTCCCTTTAATTTAAATCATGATATCTTTTATTTTTATAACGATTTTTCAGAATTTTAAATGCACACATCAATTGTTTCATAGAGAACAGCAATTCACTGATAGAAATTATTAAATTAAAGATATTACTAATTAAATAGGTGCTCTCTCTAAAAGAATTATTGTGCATGTTACGAATCAATGATATCATTATTTCGGTTGATGAGAGCAATAATTTTATTATTGTTCACAGTAATTCAATTAAAGAAAGCCATATTTTCATTAATGCACGGTTAAACAGAATTATCATTTTATTGCGCGCATCAATTCAGTTGTTGACGTCATTAATGTAATTGAAGAGAGTAAACAGTATTCCTTTTTTTTTTTTTTTTTTTTTTTTTTTTTTTTTTTTTGAGTGCATTAATTAAACAACTGAATGATATAAACAATGGGATTCATGAGCACATTATTTAAAATAGCAGGTATCAATTATTTGGAAAAAAAAATTCAACTGAATTGTTGCGAGTACCAAATGAATTGAAGATCTCTTCGGGCAATTGAAGAATTTACAAACACATTATTTCCTCTTACGAAATCGTTGTAAAATTAATTAAAGATGTTGTGACGAAGTTGATTTTTTTTGTACATATTGTTTTAATTTTGGTTTTAATGGGTTTCCTTACTATTGAGGTTGTTTTGTTACGAGTATATAAAGGGACCGGTTTTGTCGGAGTGGTCAGATCTAGTTTGGTGTCCGGTAGCGTGACCAGTCGGAGGTGTGCCACGTTTGCTTTATCCCCTGCATGATTATACGAGTGGCGAATATATTTCGGTGACATATAGAACCGAATTCTACGGGTAGCCATATAACATGCCTAGGTGGATAATTGCAACGTGTATATGCAGTTCTAGTAAGAGCGTTCGAATAATGTAAATAGTTGGTTTATTGTTATAATTTCCGGTTTTCAGTTGTAATATAGGTTAGGTTTTTGTAAATGTAAATTCATTTCAGTGCGTAATGTGCTGAGAGAATATTGTGCACATAGAAGACGGGCTGAGGGTCAGTTGACGACTGTTATAAGCGTTTGAGGTCAGTGGGGAGCGTTGGATGGAGGGCCAGTCGTGTCATGTCCAATCGTCGATGCTGAACAGAAACCGATGTTGGTAGGATAACCGCAGTGGGAGGCGATAGACCCGGGGCTACGGTTAAAGCAACTACCACGTGGTGACGAGAGAACGGCACAGGACTTACAAGTTCCTAGATGAGTGCTAATGACGGATATACGTGTGGTGTGACTTCCGGTGAACGTTTATAAGCAGTTGTGATATAGTAACTATTGAGTAACTTTCAGCCGTTTAAGAAAAGGAAATATCTTTTTGAAGTATATATAATTATTAACTAAAATTATTTGAGCTTTTTCGGGTAATTATTTAAGTCAATTTTGGTGAATTTTTCGTTTGATATAATATCTGATACTTACTGAATCAGAATTGTAGAAGTTAATATTGAATTAATGTAAAGTATCGGAATTGGTGAAAACTGAGTTAACAGTTTACTATTACATTTATTTCATTTTCGGTGTGTGAGCCTGTATGTGAGAGTGAGTGAGTGACATAGAATTTATTTGTCTTCTATTTTATTTATTTTGTGTAATAAATTTATTTGTTTATTCTGATTGATATTGTTTTCCTTCTCAACTCTACAAAATCCAAAAAGAACTCAATACAGATGTCTTCAGTTGAATGAATTTAAAGAGATAAAACTAATTTTTGCGAGCTTATTTCAACATTGCATTACATTGTTGAATTCAACAACTGAATTGATGCGGGTATCAAATGAATTGAACAGAGAAATTATTAAATTTATGCATGCATCAACCAAATTTTCTCATCAACTGGATTAATGCGGGCATCAAATCAATTATTAAGCGCAATAAAAAAAAAAGATATCTTCAAGAAGAAAAACATCTTCAATTATTTGAGTTTATACAAATTTGGCGCTCAGTATGGAAATGTCCCTTTGTGGTCATATATAGTTTCCCCAGAAATTATTGAGAATTTTTTTAAATATATTTTTCCTAAAATTCAAAAAACAAAAAAAAAACAAACAAACAAACAAAAAAAAAAAACAAAAAAAAAAAAAAAAAAAACAACCCCCCCCCCAAAAAAAAACAAACAAACAAACAAACAAACAAAAAAAACAAAAACAAAAACAAAAAAAAAAAAACAAGAGGATTTCATCAGTTAAGTGAAAGAGTTTGTAGGCCTAGTAAACTAACATTCACAAATCAAAGAAGGCTTGAATATTTATTCAGCAAGAGCAACACTAAATGTAGACAAATGGGGTTTCATACCTAATCCTACCAGCTTTTTCTGTCGAATTCCTTTGCATTTTTCAATATCTTATCCCACGTGAATTAATAGTCGACGGGGAATACTCAGTGTTTCAAAAGTATCGTTAGTTTTGCAATTCCTTGACAATAAACTCTGCAATAGGCTTTCTTTTTTCAAAAGCACCCTTTTTGAACATTAGCGAACGAACGGAAGTATACAAAGAAAATGGTAAGTTATTCATGAAAACTACACATAATATAAGAAAGTAGCAAGTACTGTCATTTGATAAAAATGATTTCAAACTTCAAATGTTTTATTTTTAAAAATATTTTGAAAATACACGAAAAAAATCTCAATAATTTTTGGTAACACTTTCACAGATTGTGACATGATGTTTTTATTTTTGCGAAAGTTATTCATCGCAAATAGTTTCTCGATCCTGGCAGAGTAACAGTTCAATTATCCTGTCGATCATAAGATTCTTGTCAGCCACGTTTTACGAAGAATGATTATTTTAAAATCCCGATACCTTTGTGTTATGTTTTCTCTACCAAAAATAATAAGTATACAATAAAAATACAGATGATCTGATCAGTTGCTTCTTGCATTGAATCCAATCAAAAAAAATCATTTGAGCTTAATCAATAAATGGAACAAATGTTTTCTTACTGGCTCTAAGGTCCTCTAGTTCTGAGACGGACGACCGTCGTCTGTTCTGAAGAAGTTCAGCAGTTGACGATCTTCTCTTAGCCGCAGTAAAATGACGTTTAGCTATGATGCTCATCTCCAGTGCTGAAATAATAAGAAATCATACTGAACGTTCTCACATACGTGGAAATGCTTTTCTTTATATAGGACTGTATACAGAAATGTATGAATAGTAATAAAACATGTTTTACACGGCATAAATGTGATTGTCCAGAAAATTTCACCAGATGGTCGAAAACAGTATCAGGTGTGTCCTCCAATAATGAATTTTAAAACTCTTTCTTTAACAAACATGTTAGTTTAATGCAAGAAATGCATGTACATGTAGCTTCACAGGTTAGTGATGATAATGATTATTCTTTAACAAAGATTTTTTTACGAACCTGAACATTGTTTTTCTACCTACATCAAATCGTTCAGATGATACAAAAATAAGGACCATGTCACTTTGTTTTTTCCTGTATAATCTGTTGAATTGAGATCACGTGTGGCCAAATCCAGGGGGTAGGGGTGGGATGGCTAGGAGTCGCGATTTGAAGTGATGTTTTATAAAAGCATTGTCTTATTCATCTACGATTTAATGAAAATTAAACAAGGGGCCCATTGGACACAATGCTCACCTGAGTCACTTTCGTCTTGCTGTTCTCCAGAAGAAGATTAAATCTAAAAAGATATTTTTTCTTTTTCTTATTCCCACAAAAAAGGATCTATATTTTTGCCCAAATCTAGTCTCAAGGGGTTATAATTTAATCTAACTTGAATCGTCACAATATTGGGATGGTTTAGTATCAATATAAGTAACATAGCCCTGTTGTTCTGGACGAGATTTTTTAAATGATATTTTTTAATCTGCACACTTGCACCGTTTAATATTTGATCTCCGTCTTATACATATATATATATATATATATATATATATATATATATATATATATATATATATATATATATATATATATATATATATATATATATATATATATATATATATAAAACGAATTCTCGAAACTTGTTTACATATTAATATGATTTGTAGCCCTGCTACTTTTGAAAAGATTTTTCCTACTTATTCCTTGTAAATTAAAACTCCCCTATCATAGCCCCAACCAAACTCTTGAGGCATTGCATATCAATGTGATTTAATGCTCTTGAAGAAATATTTTCGATGTAACAAATGGTGTTCTATTGTACCCCCATTCCACCCCTGGGGGCCTCTGATTTTGAACAAACTTGAAATATACAAAAAAAAAAAAAAAAAAGAAGACTGAATATCAAAGGATGCTGGCTTATTTATATGACTAATCATTGCCCTGTTCTTCTTCATAGAAGATTTTCATATATTTTCCTTTATAATCTACTAAACTTCCTGAAGATGCCTGAATAGTACTATGATCAATCACGACCAGTGCTGATCTTCATTCGAAGATTTTAGAAGATTTTCCATATATATTTCAATGTAAAACATTGAACATCTGTTGTGGCCACAACCTACCCTGGTGGGAATGCTTCGAACAAAATTAAATTTACTCTGTGCTAGGGAGTATTAAATTTTTTCTGGCCTTGTGCTTCTTGAGAGGCAGAATTTTTTAAGACACCCAACTTTTTTTTGCTTTTTCTACATTATCTCCGCTTTCAAGAAGTATGGCCCTTCAACCAACTATGCGTTGTGGTATGTTTTGATGAGATTGGTCCAGTGGTTCTGGAGAAGTCGAAAAAATGTAAAAAGTTTAATAGACGAACAGATGGACGACGGACAACGGGTGATCAAGGAAGGTAAAATGTATTTTCGGTTCAGGTGAGCTAAAATGAATAAGCATGCAGTATAAATGGATGCTAATTATCACTTACTGTGTTTCAATTGTTGTTCAGATGTTTCCCTCTATTTCCATGAAAAATGTTAACCCCTTTAGTGTTCCAATACTAACCATGAGGATCAAAATCTGATCAAACTTGAGTCTACAGAACAGGGGGACGCTTGTTTATTAGTGGCATTGCTGCTCTTGAAAAGAATATTCTTTAAATGTTTTTGTATGGGTTATTACAAAAAAGCAGCCAATCTTGTCACCGCCCTGTTAAGTCCTATTTTATTTTCTATCCATTGATCGTAACTTTAAAATCTTTAAAGTCTCTACTTTCTAAAGCTAATAGGATTTTTAACATGATTAATTGCTTTTGTGTCAGTTGATGTTTTTTTCACACCAATGCACCAAATTTATTATGTTTATAGTCAACAGAATTGCATTATTAAAATAAGGATAATTATAAATATGCAGAATATTGTTAAAAAATTCTATTAATTCTAAAAAAAAATGTATGTATAGAATGCGTGGAATTTTTCTACGAATAAAAAATTATCCGCCCCAACTTCCATCATTCTGATGAAATGTATAAGATAACGAACAGTAATCATGGCCAAAGTCCATTGTAAATTGTAAGTGGAGCATGTCTGAAACATCAGAGGGGGATTAGTGATTTGGAAGAGTAAGCACCCCCTGCTAAATGGTCACAACCGCAGTATGTTCTTTGTCATGATCAGTTAAACGGAGAAATCTGCAGTCAATTCAATATGAAGATAATGGCCTAACAGTTTTATGAATAACTTAAGTCAAGATTCGACCTAACCACAGAGTGTATTTGTAAACAAAGTACCGACCATAGAATTCGCAAAATGTGAACTTTTAACGAGATTGCAGATCCTTGTATTATCAATGTATTTGTCAGTAGTCTGTCTTGTTTTTTTGTTCGCACAAAGGACATGTTCCTTCGTATTGAATCAAGTGGGAGACATTAACCCCACATGCAGATGTTAGTGATATATTGCTACAAAAATTAGGGAAATTGATGATAGAAAAGTTGAAGTCATCACATTTATCATAAAATTTTGTTGTTAGTTTGCCTTATGAAATATCCAAATACGAAGCAGTTGTGTCCGACTCCGTGGTGCCTTATTTCGTGTTCAGATGGATATATCAATTCAACGTATATGGAGGTTACGAACCGTAACCAAGCTCAAAAATCCATAGAAACAATACAAACTGGGAGCAAAGCAAACACGGACCGCTAAAACATCAGAGGTAAAATCAGGTGCCATGGAGGAGTAAGCATCTCCTGTCGAATGACAGATTGTTGGAAGACTGATCTCCAAAAACTACATAGATACTGTCAATAGAAACTCGATCAAGCATCTTTTTAATATCAACTTTTAAGTACTTGTATGTACAATCAGAATGTTTTAACAAAATTATTCTGCAAATGACCAATGACTAGGTAAGTAACGTAAATATTGAGAATTGATAAAGCATCATCGATATATCTAAATATCGAATTGATGAGACTTCGTTTCATATAACATTAAATATGACTCTACAAGAAACTCATTAGACTTATTGCTTTATTTTATGTTGTTTGGCCACTGAAGTATTATTTGCCAATCCTTATGAATGACACCATAATCAGTGCTGTGCTATATTCCATCACTTCCTTCAAAGATGATAGAAGCCATTTTATGTATTTCATAGTTATATTTTTTTTGGAATCTTAAGCAAGGGAAATAGAAGAGTACGTATTTTTCATATCGTTGGTGTTTGTTATTTAACGAGGTTTGCTCCTGAGCTTTTGAGCAGATTCTTATCTTAACCTATATTTCAAAAATTCTGCATAATGTTTTAATTCTTACAATAAATTTGGATTCTACAATGCCAATTTAACTATATTCAGTTAAAACTCCATGAATAAATTCCATACCAAAAGCATTAAGTGAGGAACTATATTTTGTGGCGGAAGGTTTTTTAGAAGAAAATGATCAATTTTTCTATTTCGAAGTATTTAAAGTATGTTAAGTTTGGATTCCTATTTTTACATGCAGTCTGCACACATAGTTATTTTGTGCAGTGGACTGTTTTATACTGGTCCTAAATTATTTATTAAATAAACTGTCATGAATTCTATCATCATATTTGATAAATATAGCAAATATATTGTTGAAATGAAGAAAAAAATAGCCCTACTTTAAGCTTAAAATTAGCACTATTTTAGTAATATCTAAAAAGTAACATCACAGACCCCCACTTTTAATTTTCTTTTCTGAATATATACGATACTTTTAACCATTCTTCTTAAATTCAGTAAAATGTCATTACTTTCAAATGATTTTTTTGCTTGTAAAATTTTAATGCCAGAAAAATGAAAATGTTTGAGTGCAAAAAGGTCAAATAATTGAACATGCGGAGTAATTCGAAAATTTCTTCGTTGTTACAAATTTTAATGTGTCTATTTAAGATAAAATAAGACTGTGTTTGTTCACCATAATTTATTTGAACAAAAAATATTGAAGGAAAAACTTTAAAAATTGATTTATGTGTAAGACATATTTACAGTGCAAAAAGGTCAAACTAAATGCTCTATAGCGCCAAAAGAAGCGCATTGACCCCCATTTTTTGTTTTGATTTTTAATAAAGCTATGTGTATAAATTCTAAAAATATACTTGATAAAAAATTCTCATTACTTTTGATGGCAGGATCCAACCTCCTTAAAACAATTTTAGATAATCATTAAACTCTTTTACTAAAATGTTCTTAAGGTTAGCTTGGCAAACTGTGAACAAGATCTTTTCGCTTTCAAAGGCCATTTAAAGATGGCAGAGCATTAAATGTCTTACTCATAATTAATGATAACAGCTCAAATTTTAACACCAATGGCAGGTGCAAATATTTTTCCTAATGTACAAAAATTAATTTGATATTTAATGTACAACCCAACCCACTGTATTGCTTTTGTAAGCCAACTGGTTGAAGAATTTACTATAATTAATTTTCCGATTATAGAGAATTGATTTTTGGTACAAGGTAATGCCATTGACGACCTACAATTCATGTTCATGTTACACCAGTGACAAAAATGTTTTATGACTTATTCACCATTGGTGTACATTCTTGTATTATAAAGAACATAATTCATTTGAAATCGATTGAAAAAATGCAATTGAATTTAATTGAACTTATATATATACAGAATGAAATAATATATCAAGAATAAAATTCGATATTAACACCGACATAAGTAAAATAAGTTAAATTTTAGTTTCATTCTTACATCACCTGAATGACCCACCTGAGTCAGTCAGGTAACCTACTCTTAAATAATTATTGTAACATTTTCAGCTTATCCTCTGGCTTGACTTCGGTATTTTCAACCAAATTTGGCATATAACATCTATGTAATAGGGAACAAAAACAACGAACTTCATGGTCCTCCGGGGGTCTAAGGAATGGGGCTAAAACCAAAATAATTCAATGTTTTGAAAATCTTCTTTACTACTGGACATCAAGCAGTCAAACTGTTGGCATGATTGTAATAAGCATTGAGCCCTTTAACAAAATTGTGAAACTCATATAAAAAAAATTCATATAAGAAAAAATACAAAAATTGTTCTCAAATCTTGT